GGTCTTTTAGTGGTATCAGCTCAATCAGTTCTTCCTGTGGCCCAAAAGAGTTCACATAACGACAGAACAGCGCTATTTGTTCAATATCACCTTTATCTTTGGACTCATCACAGGCGATGGAGTACGCCACAGCTGAATTAATGTCTTGAATTTGCTGTTTGCTAATGTTTTCTGCCATTTTTAGGGTTCTGTCTTTGACAGTCTTCGCAGAGAGTGGCATGTCTTTGATTTTCTGTCCAATTTCATTCTTGTTTTTGAAGTCCATGTATAGATGTTCCGAAATCTTAATGAATGTTTCTTTTATATACTCTCCATCTGTGAAGGGCTTCCCGTGCTTGACTATTTCCTGAGCGGCCACAAAAACTAGCATATGTTGTGGAATTTGCAGACTTCACCCACTTCTTGAAATTATTTTTGCTCCATATTAACCTTTCTCATAAGTTCTGCAACGGCTTTTCGTCTCTCATCTCCATCTGGATATTTTTCAGCAAAGGCTGTGTGTTTATTCTGGAAATGCCTTGCAACATTGGACTTTTTGTGGTTTGCTAATTTCTCACCACATATTAAGCATACTGGTAAACCAATCTCGTCAGTAGAGAATGCAAATGATTCTGTCCATGTATCATTAAACACTCTGTTTTCTTCAGAAATTTTTCTCTTCTTGCCTTTATCCATGGCTGACCTACCACGGGGTCGAAAACAGCGACGTAAGTAGAAATCACAGGGCCCATGCCAAAATTTGCTATGCCCACCCCCCTCAAGTTCCAGCCACCCCCTCCCCTCGTTTCCCTGCAACCTGTGTAAAAATTGTTCGATATGTCTGCCGCACTACCACTGTACCGCTAAAAATCGCAGATCACCGCCATTACTGGTAAAAAAAAGAATAAAAATGCCATAAATCAGCAGATGCGGCAATGTGTGCGCAAACAAATCAATGTACGCTTGCGATTTTTTTTTTTACCAAAAACAAGTAAAAAAATACATATCGGCCAAACTGATGAATACATTTTTTAAAATATTTTTTTGGATATGTATTATAGCAAACAATTATTTAAAAATGTTATTTTTTTCTAAATTGTCGCTCTTTTTTGGTTTATAGCGCAAAAAATAAAAACCGCAGAGGTGATCAAATACCACCAAAAAAAGCTCTATTTGTTTGAAAAAAAGGACGCCAATTTTGTTTGGGTACAACGTCGCACGATCACGCAATTGTTAGTTAAAGTGACGCAGCGAAAAATCGCAAAAAGCGCTCTGGTCATGAAGGGGGTTTAAGGGCCCAGTAAGCAAAGGGTTAATCAGGGCCACAGTGTATCGTCATAATCACAATCATAGCCTTCGGTAAATATGAGGGCCCAATGTAATCCAAATTATAAATATATTATTATATTATTGTCACTTTTCTATTAATATTTTTTTAACCCCCCCTCAGAACTACTTTTCATAGAAAACGTTAAATTAACTTACCTTTTTTTGTTCTTCACTCCCGCGCAGTGCTGTGTTCTTCTTCACGCTCATTCAACGCTAGCTCACGCTGGTTTCGGCTCTGTCACTCCTCCCCCTCGCACACAGGAGGCCTGACGTCACCAGGCACTGTACTCATGGCGAGGCGGAGCTGAACCACGTTGAGTAGCTACGCCGTATAGTAATTCATCCCCCATATAGTAATTCATCCCCCATAGTAATTCATCCCCCATATAGTAATTCATCCCCCATATAGTAATTCATCCCCCATATAGTAATTCATCCCCCACATAGTAATTCATCCCCCACATAGTAATTCATCCCCCACATAGTAATTCATCCCCCACATAGTAATTCATCCCCCACATAGTAATTCATCCCCCACATAGTAATTCATCCCCCATATATAGTAATTCATCCCCCATAGTAATTCATCCCCCACATAGTAATTCATCCCCCACATAGTAATTCATCCCCCACACAGTAATTCATCCCCCACATAGTAATTCATCCCCCATATTGTCTCAATTCACTTACCTTTGCTCCGCGCGTTCCTCTCGCTGTGTTCCCGCGCCGTTCTGGTCTTCAGGGCGGACTGAGAGAGGAGAGGAGTTCGTCACTCTGCCCCGCCTACATCCTGGCTGCCCCACCTACATCCTGACAGCCAATGTTCCACGCTCCGCGGGCCGGATTTTTGAGGAGGGAGGGGAGCGGGCGCCCGGCACACAGAAGAGCCGCATGTGGCTCGCGATCCGCGGCTTGCCGACCACCTGGTGGGCAGTGTGCTCCGGAGCCGCAGCAAAGTTGAAAAAGAGCCGCATGCGGCTCTGGAGCCGCGGGTTGCCGACACCCGTACTAGACTGTTCCTGTCCACAGAGTTTTGTAGTCTGGCAGTCAGCACCCTTAAAGTGCAGGTGGCTGCTTCAGGAGTGTTCAACTAAGGCTCTAATCCAGGCGAGAACTGTTTCCGGATAAAAGGGGATCTGTAAGTGGTTCAGTAGGCTCTAACAAAGGACCCGTTTGAACCTTTAGATTCTTCATTTCCGAAGTTTATTACCCTAAGGCGGTTATTTTGATAGTGGTAACTTCTGCACTAAGAATTGGCGAACTGCATGCCTTGTCTATTAGGGAGCCTTTTTTGTCCATCTTCCTGATTGAGATTGCTTTAAGGAAAGTTTGGTGAGTTCTACCAAAGCTTGCTTCTGTTTACCACCATTCCCAAGACATTGTCCTCTTGACATTTTGCCTAAATCCATTGGGAAAAAAAGGTTTTCATTCCTTGAACATGAGAAGAACAGAAGTTACCTTGAGGAGTTCAGACTCCTTATTTGTTTTGTATGTTGGTGCCAAAGAGGGCCATTAGTGCACAAAGGGATTCATAGTCAGATGACTAAGGATGGCGATCACAGAAGCTTATGTCTAAGTGAATTTGTCCCATCCATTGAGGATTCATGCTCTCTCCACTAGAGCTGTCGCAGTCACTTGGGCAGAAAGGGCTGGTACCACCCCAAAACAAATCTGTGAAGCAGTGACTTGGTCAAGCCTATCCACTTTCCCTTGGCATTACAGATTGGATCTTGTTATTGGTGGGAGGCCAGGCCTTTGGCAGAAAGGTCTTTCAAGTCATTGTTCCTCCTTTAGAGTGGTAAGATGTTGTTTAACCTCTCAGATGCTGCCCTGAAAGATGTTTTGGGAAAATTGAAGTTAGACTTATCGGTAACTTGTTTATCAGTAGCCTTTCAGGACAGCAAAGATTGCCCACCATTAGGTTTAATATACTTTGTTGTGCTTATAAGTTTGTCCAGCTTGGCCGGAGATTCTGTAGTACAGTTGATAATCTGTGGGGTGAAACCTCCTTTTAAATCATGATGTTATATGTGTCTGGTGGGAGGAGCTATGATCTTTCAGGTGCTGTCTTGAACGACTACTGGAAAACAAGTTACAGGTAAGACCAACTTGAATTTTCATTTTAACTATGAAGAAAAATACCTTTACATCCACTTTAAAGGATTAGTTCCACTTTAAAGGATAAGTTCACCTTTTCTGACATGTTACAACTGTATTCAGGGTGTAACATGTTGGTGCTGCAGCAGCCCCTCTACCAAGTTCCGCTGTGACAGCAGACCAAGGATCTTCTCCTCGACTGCGTCTTTTACAGAATGTGAATGAAAAACTACAAGTCCAGACAGCCTTTGCGGCTGTTGCTTTTTAATTTTCAATGAACTCTTCCTGTCTGTGTATATCTGCCTGCTCGTATGAGTTACGAGCATCCAGATATACAGACAGGTTTGCAGGAGTCTTTCATGACACCCACGATCTGTTAAACCTGGGTGCAATGCTTTCTAGGCTTCTAGTAAAAAAAAAAAAACAGACCCACAATTTGATACATACATATATACACGCACGCACGCACACATACCCTTTTAACTGCTTGCCGACCACTCTATAGAAATACTGCTAGAGAGTGGCAGCGCTGCGCAAAATCACGTGTATATATACGTGATTTTGGATTTCCTGGTAGGGGGGGTGCGTGAGAGATGCCATTTGCGGCCATGGCTGTCAATCACTGGGCCCCGCCCGGTGATTTCCGACGAGGAGGAGAACTGTTTTTGTTTCCTCCCTGTCAGCTCGGGCACACTGCTGTGGATGGCTGTGCAATTGTCAGTTAAAGTAACTCAGCGCCGTAACACAAAAGATGGCCTGGTCAGGCAGGGGGGTAAATCCTCAGGAGGGCAAGTGGTTAAAGGAAATCTGTGCTAAGTGACATTGAGTCATTCTGTTGGTAGATGTTCAAGGTGACAGCCCTGGAGCTGATTATTAAAGTGTTGCTAAACCCAGCACCCTGCATTCACTATATCTGGTCTTCCACCTTACACACTACATGGAAACACAATTATTTTAGTAAGCAGAGCACTGCTTAAAGCTTGTAGGAGAAGTTTTCTTTCTGCTCTAGGAGGATGCAGAACCCGACCTCTGTCTGGAAAGTGCTGCTTGGCCCTGTGCTGATTACATGCACTCTTCCCAAAAAAAAAAAAAAAAATCTCTCTAGCAATACACACTAAACTGAGCATGTGCATTGTCTCCACACATCTTATCAAGAGATGAGAGGGGGGCACTGGAAGAAGGGGAGGATCAGAGAAGTCAGGATGAAACTGCATTTTTACACAATTTGGACGGAGGATTAACCCATTAGCTTCCACAGTGAGTATAACAACAGCATGCTGCATGCTTTACTGGCTATGGAAGCTCAATATTTCTTTTATCACAGCTATCCTTTGAGGAGGAGCTTCTGAAGATGTGTAAAGGCTGCACTTATTTAGGTACTGGAAGCATTTAAACAATAAATAATGCTTTATAGATTTCCTGAAAAATAATAGTTTCAAATTAAAAATAAATGTTTCAAATTTGAGAGGAAAGAAGAAAGACTATATTAAATACAATGATGGCTTCTGTAGAGTTATATGTTGCAATAGATAAATCCTTTCTTATGTTCCTATATGTAAGATTCATACTCTGTGTTGTTGTGGTTCCCCCCACAGAACTATACCTTTTGCGGAGAGAATGCTTTCCAGCTCCACTTCTCTTTTTCTAAAACAAGCAATATGGTACCCTGGTGAAATTCAAGAACCACATCTCATTCTGTTAACATCTGACAACACAATAAGGTAAAGTAGTCATTTAACTTTTGTGTGATGTGTTTTGTTTTTTTTTTGGAGAGTAGAATATAGAGAAAAAAGGGAGACATTTTCTAATAAATATACAGTGCGATATCCTGGTAGAACTATTTTTGATAAAACCTGTGCTTCCTGCAAAAACATCCAAAGCTGCTAGCAAATAATGCAACACCCAGGTATTTCTGTAAACAAAAGTATGGGGGACTTCCCCAATATACATGAGAACCACTCACTGCAGTAACTGAACACCATCTAAGAGCCAGTAAATATGCACTATATTACCACCACTTAAATAACATCCAGTTCTAGCTCATAGTGCAGTAACTCTTGAGCTCTACATACAGTTCCTCTGCTTACATTAAAGATCCATCACCAGAACAAGACCGCTTATTAAAACCCCTAGAGGATCCTTTGCACATAGCACTTATCCTCATCCAAATCCATGCAGATATGGCTGAGCTGTGTTGTTGGATAGCTAGCCTCGCCCACCTGTCTAGCTTTTCATCAACACAGATCAACTGAGATGGAGTTCTGAGTGACTGCTTAGGAGAGGGGGTTAGACTGGCATTGCACATAGAGCCTGCATAGCCCCTGCCAGACAGAACATCACTGTCATTTTTTCTGTTTTATTTTTCCTAACTTGAGGTTTTTTTTTTCTCATTTTTCTGTTTTTCTTTTCTTTTTTTTTCTTTTTAGAATTTATAGTCTTCGTGATCATTTAAAGCCAATAAAAGTTATTCCACTTTCTAACTCTGAAGAGGAGACATCATTTTCCCATATTGGGTCAGTATATTTATAACAGTGCATTTGTTGCAAATGTGATCTGCTCCCATATGACATGTACGTGTATATTACCAAAAATGATAAAAGGTCTGATATGACTTCACCCCCCAAAGCATTACTGGTGTCCTTGGTAACCACAATAATACTCCCCAAGCATTATTGGTGTCATTGGTGACCACAGTGAAAACATCTGTGACGGGCTCAAAGTAGGCAAGAGGCAGGCCTGCTGTCCCCTCCAAAAGGCCCTTTCCAAGTTGAGTCTGTCACATTTCTCCCCCCTCAAAAGTCGACTAGCCAGGTCCCAGACCTCCTCCTAGTCTGAACATACATTAGTTGGGCAAAGTGAACCCACATAGTTGGTCCACACAATTTCCATTCTTGGCCAAAGGGAAGAGTTGTCATTGGTAGGTGAGGAGCAGAGGTCACGGACCCTCTGTCTGGCTTCCAGTGCTTCAGCTGGGAGGTCTTTACCATTCCCGGGCTTGGTCTGCTGGGTAGAGGGGCTGACTGCCCCAATTCCCTGGAGCTGTGAAGACACGGTAGGTGCTGGACAGAGGCCAGTGGCGCTCTGCCCTGTTGCCAGCGCTTCAGCTGGGGACCCCAAATCCTCCGCTCTGACTGTTAGGCAGGGAGAACAACCACTTCCTCTCCTAGACTGTAGACTTGCCGCTGGGGAGGGAGGACAATTTCCTCCCCTCCCTGGTCCTTGAACTGCCGCTGGGGAGATGAGCTGACTGCTCCATCTCCTGTACCCTCATCCAGTTGCTGGGACGACATTTCTCAGTTACTGTCTCCCAGGTGCACAGATCCATGCTAGGAAGGGAAAACCTCTCCACTCCTCCGCTCTAACTGACTGTTGGGGAGAGAGGACGACCACCTCCTCTCCTGGACCGTTGAACTGCCGCTGGGGAGACTAGGTGGCTGCTTCATCAACTGGACTTCCGCTGTGGAGCGAGGATGACTTCCTGCACTCCTGAGTCACTACACTGCCGCTGGGGAGGGAGGATGACCACCTCCTCTCCCGGAGTTCGGAACTGCTGCTGGGGCGATAGGTGGGTTCCTCTTAAACCCATACCCTTATCCGGCTGGTACTGTCTCCCAGGTGCAAGAATCCTTGCTGGGGAGGGAAGACCGTTTCCTCTGCTCTGGCTGTCAGTTGCACAGGGAGGGCGACCACCTCCTCTCTGGACTGTACAACTGCTGCTGGGGAGGGAGGATGACCCTCTCCTCTCCCTGGGCCCCTGGAACTGCTGTGGGTGTGGGGCAGAGGTATTGGACCCGCTGTCCTTTTGTCAGCGCTTCAGCTGGGGTTAGAAGTTCCAGTGTATCGGCCTTCTGCTGGAGAGAAGGGCTGCCTGCCCTGGTTCCCTGGAGCTCTGGAATTGCAGTTGGTGCTGGGCAAAGGCCAGTGGTGCTCTGCCCTGATGCCCGCTCTTCCACTGGTGGCTCACTGGGTTGTTCCTCCTTAGCAGAAAATTCTATTAAATCCCAGTTTCTGGAATTGCTGAAAATTCAGGGCACGGGCTGGTGACACTTGGGCCCAGCTCCAGCGATTTGACGGGTCTCGTAATCCATAACATCCATGGGTGCTGTGGCATACTGTTGAGCTTAGTCTTTTATGTTTGTTCCAGCTCCCATTCTTGTGGAACTATAAAGTCCAAGTCTTGGCTCAATCTGAGCTCATTGGGAAGTTTCAACTCCCTAACATCTCGAATATCCTTCCATCTCCACTCCGCTGCACTACCGAAATATGGATCTTCCTGAAGATCTTCCTTCATCTCAAATATCAATCCCGGGCAGCTGAAGTCCTAACCTTCTATGGGATTGCTGTTCTTCAGCCATGGACACTCTTGTAGAATACCAATGCGGTGCCCGATACTCATCGTTCAGCACCATTTCTTTTGTGGACCAGCCTATACAGCTCCATAAGCCATTCCTCCCGATGATGCTCTCCTAGGAATGGTATACGCAAGTTCAACTGCTGCCAGTACTTATCCAGGAATGTAGGGAGAATATTTCCCATAATAGCCTTGCCTCACTTGGAGAGCTTCCATTCAGAGCTTCTAGCAGATTGTGTGTCTCATTTCCAGCATGTCCTGGGCAGAACCAGGCTCTCCATACTGGGCGATATTCCCTTACATTCACCACTGGAATTCCGCTTCCATGGCATCCGACTCCTGGAACACTTCTTCGATTTCACCCAACACTGGGTCCCAGTGGTGGTTTGGATATCCCAGACTGCAGGAAGCATCTGACTGCTGCCACCAAATGTGACGGAATGCCTGTCTCCCCAATTGGGTGACTGTCATAGAACTGCTTTCTCGCCACTGGGACACAATACCAAGTTATTATAGTTGGGCATTGCACCCAAAACTAGGCGACGCTAGCTTAGATGCCAAACAGGAATTCTTTATTGAACAGAAAACACAGGTTTTTATACACTCCAGAAATAGGAGCAGTGCCCACAGGAACAATACACACAAATATTCTATATTAGGATAAACATCCCACACTGATTAGGTAATGAGGTGAAGCTGACATCAGTATAATCTCATCATGTAGGAGCCTCCAACAGGAATTGCCAACAGACAAACAATAGGTGACTCAATTAACAATGGAATGCACACCTAGGATGCAATGGTAGAAAGACACACAACATCTTAATAAACAGATTAGAGCAAGTCCTCACTTCAGTTTTGTTTTGAGCTGATTATATTACCTCTTTCTTCGTCTCTGAGACTAGGAATTGGGTTTGGAGCAGTCAATGCTGGTTGGAGCACAGAGACCCCAAATCTGTATCCTGGTCCTCCAGTTCTCAGAGTCTGTGTGTTTTGGGGGAGACATGGACTCCAAAGTAAACTGCTCCAAAGGTCCCCCCAGGCACACACCAAAGATTAGAGCCCCCTCACATGCTAGTGCCATGGTCAGTAGGCAAGAGGCTAGCCCAGGGGTGGGCAAACTTTTTGACTTGAGGGCCGCAATGGGTTCATATATTGGACCCGGGGGCCGGACCAAGAGTAGAGATGAATGATGTGTGTGTGTCATCCATAGTAAGTATAGTAATAATCCCCCATATAGTAATTCATCCCCCCATATAGTAATTCATCCCCCCATATAGTAATTCATCCCCCATATTAAGTCCCCAAGTCCCCCCTGTGTCAATTCACTTACCTTTGCTCCGCGCGTTCCTCTCGCCGTGTTCCCGCGCCGTTCCGGTGTAGCATGAAAATCTGTCTCCTATGAGGATCTGTCCCCCTCGACGTATCTGCGCATGTGCCAGTTTCAGGCATTAGCAGCCGATCGGCGATCTCCGGCACATGCGCAGATACGTCGAGGGGGACAGATCCTCATAGGAGACAGATTTTCATGCTACACCGGTCTTCAGGGCGGACTGTGAGAGGAGCCTAGCGGGAGCCTAGCTCCGCGGGCCGGATTAAAAGGTCCGCCGGGCCGTAGTTTGCCCATTGCTGGGCTAGCCAGTGGTCCACTCCAAAAGCCCCTGTCCTAGTTGGGTCTATCAAACTCTCCACCCCCATGATAAGTGGCTGTGTTTTGTGTATATGTGTGTGTGTGGGTTTTTTCTCCCCTTTTCAACAAGACTGGATTTTTTCCTTTAAAATAAATCTTTTTTTACTCTTTAACATAGATGTTTTGTACTTTCAGGAGGTCCTACAGAGCATCTCTTGGAGAAACTGCAGTCGCATGTGATTTTGGTCCTTTAGTTGCATTTAATAGGGGTCACGGACTGCATAGTAAAGAAGAGACTGCATATCCTCTATACATACTCTATGAAAATGGAGAAACTTTCCTTATTTACATTAGTCTGCAAAACGGGTGAGATCGCTTGGCTTGTACTGCTACACACTATATCCTGTAAAAATGTTTTAAAAAGTTACATTTTGTTATCTTGCACATTTCTTGTGGCATGCACCAGGGCTGATTTATGAAAAATTGAATGGCTGTTAACACTGGACATAATCTATTTAATTTTTTTTCTAATAAATGCAAGCTAATATTTAACCACTTTCATACAGGGCACTTTTACACCCTTCCTACCCAGGCCAATTTTCAGGTTTCAGCGCTCTCACACTTTGAATAACAACTCTGCGGTCATGCAACACTGTACCCAAACAAAATTTTTATCATTTGTTCACACTAGAACTTTCTTTTGGTGGTATTTAATCACCACTGGGGTTTTTAGTTTTTGCTAAGTTAACAAAAAAAAGACATATTTTGAAGAAAAAAAAACACGTTTTTCTTTGTTTCTGTTATAAAAGTTTGCAAATAGATAAATAATTATTCTTCATAAATTTAGGCCAAGATTTATGCTGCTACATTTCTTTGGTGAAATAATCCAAATCAGTATTTATTATTTAGTCTGTAGGAAAGTTGTAGAGTTCACAAACTGTGGGATATATCTGAAAATTGATCACTCCTGAAGTACTGACAGCCAATCTAATTTCTTGAGGCCCAAAAATGTCAGAACAGTACAGATATCTGCCAAATGACCCCAAAGTAGACAGTCCTACGTATTTCATAAGAGGCATGGCGAGTTTTTTGAAGTTGTAATTTTTATTGTCCAATTTTTTTTTGGAAAATGAAGAAATTAAAAAAAATATTTTCAAAATTTTTTTTTTTTTTTTTACATGCGGTCATCAGTATAGTACAGTGTCCTCATATAACTGGTGTGGTGGTGATCAGGGACACTGACTTGTGGCAGTACGAAAAAAAAATTACATTACATTTTGTTTTTTTTAAGATTTTTTTTTTTTCATATTACACTAGGACAAAGTAGTATTATGTTACCATAGTAACATTGTACTACTTTGGGGAAGTGATCAGTATTGTTGTTTTTTTTTTTTTTTTACACAAATTGATTGCTTATAGCAAAAAATTTCTTTGCTATAAACAAGCATTTAATTGAATGAAATCGATGAATTCAGGTTTTTTTTGTTGTGATTGGCCATGGCTAATCACATGACACAGATGGGCTGTGATTGGCCAAGCCTGTGACTGTGATCACTGTGACCATTTGCAGTTAGACACGCTTGTATACAATGGATGGCATGAAAGAGAGCCATCCATTGTTTACAACTGTCATGTGACCTGCTGTGATTGGTCACAGCAGGTCACATGGTACAGGCAATGGGGCCGGTACACAGATCTGTTATTGGCCGAGTCCGAGGAACGCAGCCGGTGACTGATCTTGCCACAGCACGGCCCTGCGGGCACGCGCAGGGCACGATCTGGGACGGACGTCATATGACACCCTCCCGGATCGACAAGAGGCTCGCCCGGCCATCATGTTACTATAGGCTGCGTGGGAAGTGGTTAAAGTTTAACTCCAGGAATCGTAACAATTCATTCTTGCAATGGGGCTGTGCCAGCCCTGCAAAGGTTAACTGTTCATTTATATCTAGGGGGCATGGAAAAGTAGATTTACTTACCCAATTTTCTGTGCTTTTAGACCGTACACTGCAGCATTTTTCCCCCCATGCGTCACTGGTTTAAGGTCCTGACATGAAGACAGATGCTGGTTCTATAGCGCTTCTAGACATGAAGGTGCCAAGGACCAGTCCACTGTCAGAGCATGGGGGAGTGCTGTGTTCCCGAGGGAGAGTCGGGTAAGTAAAAGTGCTTTCAAGCTCATCTAGACTAAACAAGCAGCTGATATTTGCAGTGTGGGCATTGCCCCACTGCAAGGGGGACTGTTAGATTTCCCGGTGTTGGGCTTTAACTGAATAATAAAGACGGTAGCTACATATTTTAAGAATTAGGTGCAATAAAATCAGATGTACAGGTATAGGAAATCTAACAAACTGGGCTGAGTTATGTATGTTTGTGTGTGTTTTCTTTCCTAATAGATATGTTGGCAAGCTCCTGGGCCCTCTTCCAATGCACCCAGCTGCAGAGGATAACTATGGCTATGATGCTTGTGCGGTGCTTTGCTTACCCAGTGTACCTAGTATCCTCGTCATTGCCACTGAATCAGGGCTTTTATATCACTGCGTGGTGCTAGAGGCAGAAGATGATGATGAGCAGACCGTAAGTGAAAAATACATAGATCTTTCTGATTTACATAAGTCAGTTGATTTGTCTGATACACTTTTGATGTTTATATGCTTTAATAGAAGACTAATAAGGAGCCTCTCTCAATTTCTATCCGCCTGTGAAAGAATGTATGTGAGCATGATCTAAGTGGTTAAAATTGGGGATTAAAGCTCATTCCAGTTCAGGAACTATAGACACCTATATTGCTCAGACAGACATACAATCCTCTCCATTGTTTAAGCTGTATTTTCCTCCTCGTTCATCTATGGACAGTACATATGGACAATACATCTATAAGCCAGTCCATGTATAACCCCTTTTCTACCTAGCATGCCTCACTTATTTGCTAGTGCCCTAGTAAGTTGGACACCTTTTTTCTCCTCTGCTCATAAAAGTTGAAATATTTTTACTAGTTTTTTTGTTTTTATGGATTTTTTTCATCTGAAATTTTATGATTCCTTGCTACACACTTCTTGAGCTGATCTTTATATAGCATCTGGATTGGTGTTTCCCCAGCTTAGCTTTGGAGTCTGTACATGGACTCTGATGGACTGCATGTATATGGCTACTGAGAACAAATGGCTCCCCTCTTGGTGCATTGGAGACAATACAAACAAATAGAAATCTTGTTTTATGCAACCAAATAAAAAAAAAAAAAAAATTTTTTTTAAATTGTGCAAACAAAAAAATTACAGAAAAAAGGGTATTACAAAAGAGAGACAATAATGCAACAGAAACACAAAAAGGGTTTAAGAATGACAATACTTAACAAAGTCTGTTTGATGGTTAAAGAGAGCTGATGGTGTTTTCCTTTCTGGTCCCTGAGGAGGGTGTTGACCGAAATGACCTGACTAATGAGAAGATGAGGAGAGGCCCATGGGATGTCAGTCTTTATGGCCATTCAGTGATCATGCACTCCAATACAGTTTTTTTCTAAATGTAATAATATTTTATATACAGTGCCTTGAAAAAGTATTCATACTTCTTGATATTTTCCTCATTTTATCATGTTACAACCAAAAACTTAAATGTATTTTATTGGGATTTTATGTGATAGACCAGGCTTCACTAAATGGTGGACCGCGGTCCAGATCCGGACCCAGAAACATTCCTTTCCATACCGCAGCCTTTATTATATTATAACCTTTTTGTGATAGAATCAAATAATCATAATAATATTCAAAATAATAATATCATAAATACTCAAAAACCATAAAAAGAAAAACACAAAAAAAGTCCAATGAAAAAAGTGTCCCAATAAAAACCATGTCCAAATGAAAAGTCCCAAATTTTCAAACTTTATCATCCAGTAGGAAGAAATCCCTTTTCATCCCGTGGTACCTCAAAAATAAAAATAAATAATCTAGTGCATTACCTTTGTAAACAATATATATTCACTCAGTGCAGAGAAAAAACTTATTTTTTGTGCAAAAAACTATATATATATATATATATATATATATATATCTCTCTCGTGCACATATAAATTAACTGTGACCACTCCGTGAACACTGCAACACTGTGTATCCACCGACACCATTAGTATTACATACTATTACCCTCTGTATCAATATAATCAGCATTCAATCAGAGATCTTCTATTTCCTTCTCCAAAGCAATTTTTCCAAGGTCCTCAAAAGACAAGAAGGGTCTCAAGACTCATGTTCAAGGCATAGGTAAAAAGATTTAATAGCAACTTACATTAAAATTCCACATTTCCAGCTCCCAACATGGTTCCTATGCGAGTTCTGCCAAACAAATGCAGCAAACCATGTGTGAACAACCAAAAAAATGGCCGCGGCGACCGGCCAATACCGCAGCCTCACCAAATAGTTGCCTCAATGTCCTCCCCCCGCAGCCACCTCTCCCGCCTGCCGCTATTATCCTCAAGGAAAAGGAGTGTGAGGAAGCGCAGCAGGTTTTTCCCTTTCATAATATTTCAGCACTCCCCCCTTCTTCCCCCCCCCTCCCCATACTGTCCTACCTTATTCACACAACCCAGGAAGCACAACAGGTCTGAACATAGAACAGGGCTTAACATGAAAAGTCCTGCCCTATGTCCAGAACAGCCGTGCTTGCTGTCTTGTGTGAATAAGGTAGGACAGTGTGCGAAGGGGGGAGTGGTGCTATATTATGAAAGGGACAGGAATCAGTAATATGCAGGTAGTAGTGTGATGGGGAACGGGGGGTCTGTGATGAGGGGAACTGAGATGAGTGGTCTGTGAAGGGGGGAATCTGTGATTACGGGGGTCTCTGCTGTGAGGGGTCTGGCATGGACGAGATTTGTGATGGGAAGGGGGGTTTGATGGGCTAGGGGGTCTGTGATGGGGTGGTCTGTGTTGTAGAAGGGGGTGGGGGGGGAACTGTGAGGTGCACGGGAGGACGTGATGTGGAGGATCTGAGTCATAGCACCAACATGACACTCGGACCTCCGCTGGAAGAAAATTTTACTGACTGGACCCCCGTGAATTTGAATTCAGTACCCCTGTGATATACCAACACGATGAAGTGGCACATAATTGTGAAGTGGAAGGAAAATGATAAATGGTTTGCAAATTTTTTTACAAATATCTGAAAAGTGTGGTATGTATTTGTATTCAGCCCCGTTTACTCGGATACCCCTAACTAAAATCTAGTGGAACCAATTGCCTTCAGAAGTCGCCTAATTAGTAAATAGCGTCCAACTGTGTGTAATTTTAGTATAAATACAGCTGTTCTGTGAAGCCCTCAGAGGTTTGTTAGAGGACATTAGTGAATAAACAGCGTCATAAAGGCCAAGCAACACATCAGACAGGTCAGGGATAAAGTTGTGGGGAATTTTAGAGCAGGGTTAGGTTATTAAAAAAAAAAAAAAAAATCCCAAGCTTTGATCATCTCACAGAGCACTGTTCAATCCATCATCCGAACTGTAAAGAGTATGGCACAACTGCAATCCTACCAAGATATGGCCGTCCACCTAAACTGACAGGCCGGGCAAGGAGAACAATAATCAGAGAAGCAGCCAAGAGGCCCATGGTAACTCTGGAGGAGCTGCAGAGATCCACAGCTCAGGTGGGAGAATATGTCTACAGGACAACTATTAATCGTGCACTCCACAAATCTAGCCTTTATGGAAGAGTGGCAAGAAGAAAGCCATTGTTGAAAGAAAACAATAAGAAGTCCTGTTTGCAGTTTGTGAGAAGCCATGTGGGGTACACAGCAAACATGTGGAAGAAGGTGATCTGGTAAGATGAGACCAAAATGTAACTTTTTGACTTAAAAGCAAAACTCTGTGTGGCGGAAAACAAACACTGCACATTACCCTGAACACACCATCCCCACTGTGAAACGTGGTGGGGCAGCATCATGTTGTGGAGATGCTTTTCTTCAGCATGGACAGGGAAGTTGGTTAGAGTTGATGGGAGGCTGGATGGAGCCACATACAGGGCAATCTTAGAAGAAAACCTGTTGGAGTCTGCAAAAGACTTGAGACTGGGTGTGAGGTTCACCTTTCAGTAGGACAACGACCCTAAACATACAGCCAGAGCTTCAATGGAATGGTTTAGATCAAAGCATATTCATGTGTTAGAATGGCCCAGTCAAAGTCCAGACCTAAATCCAATTGAGAATCTGTGGCAAGACTTGCACATTGCTGTTCACAGACACTCTCCATCCAATCTGACAGCTTGGGCTATTTTGGGCTAAGAATGGGCAAAAATTTCACTCTCTAGATGTGCAAAGCTGGTAGAGACATCCTCAAAAAGACTGGTAGCTGTAATTGCAGTGAAAGGTTGTTCTACAAAGTATTGATTCGGGGGCTGAATACAAATGGACGTCACACTTTTCAGATATTTATTTTTAAAAATCATTTTCCTTCCAGTTTACAATTATGTGCCACTTTGTGTTGGTCTATCACATAAAATCCCAATAAAATACATTTACGTTTTAGGTTGTAACATGAAAAAGTGTGGAAAATTTCAAGGGGTATGAATACTTTTTCAAAGCACTGTACTGCATGTTGTGATCTGGTAACCCCCATATTATTGTGCAGTATGCTATTGTCATTCCAGAGAAACTAAACCTGATCTCCCTCAGATAGGCCTGTCACCCAGGCAGAGGGAGACAACTATCTCACCTTCTGTATACAATAGTCTAGTCCTGCTGTTCGTGATCTGTTCAGTATTTTCTTCCATATTCAAATATATAATCAATAGTAATATAGGTTGGTCATGTCTGATTTAATGATTTGGATATAGAAACTTTGAAATGGAGAAGGGGTCTTTTGCAGATCAATTCAGGCCTAAATGGTTTTTTTTAATATCAATTAGGTCTGTGATAGACACTTTATGGCACACCACTTATGCAGTCCATAGACGGGTCGTTTATTGGCCGGGTTTTCGTCCGCACGAAAAATCGACCGATATTCACGCTGTTGTGGGACAATACTGTCGGCCGTTTTTTGCGGATCTCTCGTTTACTTTTATCGGTCATGCTGGAAAATCCACAAAAAACTGCCATTTTTCGTGGACATTGCTGCCAGCAACGACTGATTTTTTGTTTATCAGCTGAAAATTCGGCCAATAAACGACCCGTCTATGACCTGCATTAGTCCTAATGGGTATAATTGCCCTGCAGACCATGCATAACAGAACTGAAAGGCTTTACAGTTTTTACAATGAGTTAATCCCAATTTCCTTTAGAGCAGGTGTCTCCAAACTGCAGCCCGAGGGCCCTTTGCTAGACTTTATCTGGCCCTTGGGGCACTATTCCTTCCTATGATATGAGGCACTATTCCTCCCACTGACACCAACTATGGGGCACGATTTCTTCCACTGATGCCAATGATTGGATACTGTTCCTCCTACTAATACCAGTGATGGGGCACTACTCCTTCTACTGACCAACAGCCCTGAGGCCATGTTTATTCTCACTGATGCTGGGTTCAGGACATTTTCTACCTCCACTGGCCTCAATCTGGCCATCCTAAAGTCTGAAGGATAGTATACTGGCCCTTTTGTTTGAAAAGTTTTGAGACCCCCTGCTAGTGGATAGTGATAATCTTCTAGATGGTTACTGCTAACAGACATTAAGATAACTCCCGACATAATGCATTGATCTTCCACATCTCCTGTTGAAAGCATTCAATTAGATATTTGCTAATTTAGCAGATCTCTGTTCATTAGTTATCTGCTAAGTAATATTCAGCTGAATCGTTGATGCTATTCTGAAGTTCTTTTTTAGTGTCCAGACCATTGGTGAATTGTTTACTCAAGGTAAATGCCAATGGAGATGCACTCTTGGGATTATAGCTAGTTCTGAAAAGGGGGTCACTGCTGCTCTCTTATTTTAAAAATGTTCTAGCTGACCTGTGTTCTCTCACCTAATTTTTGGGGTGCCCAGTTGGCATTATCACACGGTGAATGTACAAGGGGTGAGGAGGGATGAGTAAAGTGGAAAAATAGCGCTGGACCCGTCAGATTATTTTACTGGTATTGCTACCCGGGTAGGCAGCTCCTACACCCCAGAGAATCTCCACTGTCTCTTTGGCATGTAGTGTAATGTAACAAAGATGAAAAGTGAAAGAAATCCTGCTGCTGACAAGGCCTGTGCTTGTAATCACACTTTAAGGAATAACATTAAAGATCCAGCTCTCTTCTGGTTTATTTACATTGTGTTCAATCAAAGTGGTTGCAATGGCTGTAGGTTTTTTTTTTTTTTTTACCGTCATGCATTCTATGCATGAAGGTAAAAAATCTTCAATGTGCAAGTCCCCCTTGAGCACCTCCAATACTTACCCAACCCTGATCCTGGTCCATTGATGTGCTCGAGAGCAGTGGCTCTCCCAGGTCTCTTCCTCCTTATTGGCTGAGACACAGCCAGTGTGGAGGGAGCGAGGAATGGGACCGACCCTGTGCTCTGTTTCTTATGGATGCACAAAGGCAGCTCAGGAGCGAGCATGCGCTAGTGCCCCCAGAGCAAGCCATGGCACTCAGCAGGGGGGAGGAGCCAGAATGGGGGTGGGGGGACCTGAGAAGAGGAGGATTGGGGTTGCTCTGTGCAAATACATTGCACCGAGCAGAAAGTATGATGTTTTTTTTTTTTTTTTTTTTTAATTATCACTTCAAGCCCTGATGAAAAGGGCTGTTTGTGGACCCCAGGAACATGTTCTCTACTATTTGTCTTGTCTCTTCACTTTTATTGGAATAAAGTTGTGTCTGGACCTCATACCAAGGGTGTGGCGCTTCAGTTTCTATTTTGTTACAAGGAGAGAGAAGGGTTGGACTTACAACATGCTTGCTCCACTGTATAAGAGCTGCAGCTTTCATAGCCATGACCCTAAGGCCTCGTTCACACCATACGTGCAGAAAAACTGATGGAAACTGATGCCCAGATTTCACTTGCAGAGGCATCCGTTTACATCCGTTTTTATGCAATCTTCAAAGAGTTTTAAACACGTTGCAGATTCTTGTGCAGAAAAAAACTCTGCACTTGATACTGGTATTGTGGTGTGAACAGGGCACATATAGAGCAATTAATTTTGTGCCTTTGCAGAACACATGCAGAAAAACTGACGTATCTGTACCATGGTGTTAACGAGCCCTAAAACTACAGTACTGGCCTTAGAATCGGACAAATACAGGTCAATGAATTATACAGCAAAAAAATTGATCAGAAAATTTAACACACCGGACAAGAGGTAACCTCTTTTTTTATAGAACTTGTAAAGATATCTGTGGCTGGATTTCCATTTTACATTTCCTGCCACTTCTGGTTTACTGTGGTAAGGGTTATGGCTTAGAAATCCAGCACTAACTTAATCTATTTGGAGTTCTGTGGATGTGCAGTTTCTCTGCATAGCTAGGGTTCTCCTCTCTTGGTTCTGACCTGGGCCTTGGTTCTTCACATACCTTGTTTTTCTAACAGTTCACCGATGCTTGAGTCTGTCAATGGCTGTTTCCCACACTTCAGTTGGACTGCTTTTTGGACGTTTGAACTCTTTCTTATCAATTGAAGGACACAGAAATGCAGAAACAAAATATGATTTTTGTACTTAATTTTTTTTTTCTTGGATTCCATTTCGGGCTAGAAGTCCAACCCTTCTTGTGCCTTTTGCTTTTGCCCTGGTACTGCTTTCTCACAAAATCTATGCATGCTGGGTGAAAGAGGGTTTATATCAAAGTGAAATTGTATTTTATTTCATTTAGCCAGTGTACCAGCCTCCTGTAGGTGCCAGTAAAACCCAAAAGTTTGAGTTTGTATCCCTAAATGGATCGCTATATTGCAGTGAGTTCAACATACTTGACATTAGTTGATATTAGTAGAACATACCTGTGAAATGTGCATATTTACAGCTGCTTGATGTCTCCATTGTGAGATGGTGTCTATGTAGGAGAGCAATTGGAAGTCCAGGGACAAAGTGTTATAACCCTGTAATGGGAAGTGGCTGCACAAGGACTTCAATAGCAAAATCGCCAGGTATTATTTTAAAACTGAACTGAAGCCTCTGAATGTATTATTGTAATACAGTAAAGCTGCATATGTTCTTCTGAGAGATCATGAACCCTGTTAGTTGGAGCACTGTGCACAGAATTGTTGGACTGCTGAAGACCTGGGCCACTGTATGTAATAGCATGAGCCACTAGCTCAGTAGTAAATATAAGAGCCACTTGAATGGATGTCAGCTGTGGCCCTTGATTAGGGCTGCCTGCTAATTTGGAGTCTAGAGTTTGCATGAAGAGAGTGAGTGTGCACAGATGGTTTTAAAATTTATGTAAGTATTGTTATCATTTAAGGTGCTTACTTAAAATAATCTTCCTTTTTTGCAGTCTAACAAGACCTGGTCCAGCCCAGATACTGACCTTGTTCCTTCCCTGTATGTTTGTGAGTGTGTTGAGCTGGAATTGGCACTTAAGATAACTGCTACAGAAGATGAAGTACATGTGGATACTGACTTCTCATGTCCCATTAGACTTCACAGAGGCAAGTTAATATAATGTATAGATCATTTTCACTTAAATAGTGGTTAGCACTATTTTACTTACTTATTTTTATGTTTTCAGACCCAGTCTGTCCCTCAAGATATCATTGCACACACATGGCTGGTGTTCACAGTGTAGGCTTGACCTGGTTCGAAAAGTTGGGAACCTTTCTTGCAGCAGGTATATTCTTGCCCCAGTACTGTATTAAGTGGCAAAAATTATACTTACTGGTAAATGTAGTTAAAATTGTTATCAATAATATGCAATTGTTTGATTGTAGATGAGGAAGACAAAGATAGTTTGCATGAGCTGGCAACAGAACAGAAATGCCTTGTGGAACATATTATGTGTACTAAGCCCCTACCATGCAGGTAATTTCCCACAATCTGGTCTGTATGCTTCATCATGATCATCATCATCATTATTATTACAAATTGCATGCTAAAATTAAATTTGTGAATTATTATTCTTATACAGGATTTATATAGCGCCAACAGTTTGCTTAGCGCTTTACAATATAGAGAGACAATACAGTTCAATACAAGAGGGTTAGGAGGGCTGTGCTCCTTGGAGCTTACAATCTAAGAGGGAGGGGCTGATGGTACAAAAGGTAATAACTGTGGGGGATGAACTAATAGGAGGAATAGAGGATTCCGTTATTAGCTGAAAGCAGGATAGGCTTCCCTGAAGAGAGGTTTTCAGAGATCGCCTAAATGTGGGCAGAATAGGCGATAGTCGGATAGATTGGGGTAGGGAGTTCCAGAGGATGGGGAAGGCTCTGGAGACAAGCATGGGAGGAGGAAACAAGGGAGCTAGAGAGCAGGAGGTCATGGGAGGAGTGGAGAGGTCGGTTTGGGTGATATTTGGAGACAAGATTGGTGATGTAATTTGGGGCAGAGTTCTAAATGGCTTTATATGAATGATACTGCATTCATTCTTAAGTTCCATATTAAGTGGTATCATGGTGCACATAATGTGTGTTCGGTATGAAACCACGCTGCTCTGCAAAGTTAAAATACATTGCAGTGCTTGCTTCAGCTACCAGTGAAGTCAGCATGTGATGTGACTAGCCAATAGGCTACAGAAGTTCCATTGAGGACATGTGACAAGTTACATTTTGATGTTTTAAGTAGTGTACAATAAATTATCATTGGCCTCTGTTGATAATATATATATATTTTTTTCTTTCTCCAGCCTTCCTGCCCCCATTCAGGGATTTTGGATTATTTCTGATCTTGCCCTTGGAACAGCTATGATATGCGTTACTAGTGGATATAAATGCATCATCCGGCCTTTGCAGTATGTATACATTTGTAGGAATGGAGTGGCCAACACGGCTGTTGAGTTCTACTTGCCTAGCTGTCATCCTGATTCATTGGCTTTAAAGCCATAGTAAACACCTCTGGTACCTTTATACCTACAGCTAAGCTTCAAATAAATCTTACCTATAGGTACAAGGAATATCTCCTAAATGTGCACCGTTTAGGAGATATTCACTGTTTCTGCAGCCCAGCGCATGCACTCTGAAGGGACGGCATACTCATGCCGCCTCTTCAAAGCTCTGTGCTGCTGCCGTTACTCCCATGCACATGCACAGGCGTGACATCATCGCAGCTCAGCCATTTAAATGTCCAGAACCCACAAACCCGGAAGGAAGGCAAGGGTGTAGATGAAAGTCCTGCCAGCAGTGATAGTGTGCCACTGGAGGGCTTAGTTTTTAAGGTAAGTACTTCATAAAGTGCTAATATGTGATGCATTATCTTGCAGGGGGATTTTTTTTTTCTTTTTCAGCAAAGCTTTACTACAGCATTAATACTTTGAATCATTGACCTGAAACAATTTTTTTTTAATTTAAATATTAAATTTATTTGTGACTAATAGCAATTTGTACAGCGCATAAGCCAGTGCCAGGCTAAAGATGCATGTAGTATAATTTGTATAGTTCATTTCTGGTCTGAATAGGAAACTGCACACTCTATGGGTATCAAAGACTGTAACATAAAACGTCAGAATACGTCAACCAGCAATTTACAGATTAGCAGGGATGGGAATGTTCATTACATGATCGACATTAATGTGTGATGAGAGAACTATGGGACTACTGTTGCTGACTTTTGCTGATCAACAAGTTTTCCAACAATGCAGTTCGGCAGAAGTTGATCAGGAACATCTACACATGAATCGAAAGTTGGCTGGTCCCTGCTGGACTGTCTGAATTTTTATCCTTCTGTGGTCAGCTTTAGGCTTCATGGCAGTGACCCAGAACGAATAACCAGATCAGAAACATTTGTTTGTATCAGTGACTCAAATAATTTAATTAAGAAGGTTGCCATAATATGCAGACAATTAAAATTTACAGGAGAAGACTTCCATTTGGTTTCTTTTAACAGCCAAAATGCTTAAAGTAAATCAGCTTGTATGTATGTGTGGTGGTTGAGAGTAAAAATAAGTAATGCTGACGCTAACAGTAAGTACATGTCAACTGTGATCCAATATTTATGTGTTCTATATCTTGGTGCACAGAATTGCCAATATAATTTAACCAATTCTTAAATAGTGTCAGAGACATAATGGCCCTACAGTAGCAGTTGCAAGATATATAGGTATATGGAGATGTATAGGTGTGTGGTATGTATACCTCCATCTGGTTTGTTTCTTGCAGTAACTTCTAAATTAAATCAGTATTAAACCCAAAACAAAAAATGTAATATATTGCACCTTATCAGTCCTTAGGTGTATTGGCTGCATTAGTTTTTTTTTATTAGGCTTTTTTTCCCCTCTGTTTTACTTGATGATCTGGCCAGTAACACAGCTCCTGTATTAGTGTCCCCCACTTTGGATGTAGGCGCACAGGGGTACAGTAGACAGCAGCAATGTTAATCTGGGGGAAGGGTAGTGCTGCATGAACTAGCTGATTTAGATACACTAACAAATGGAAGCCAAACTCCAGCTCACACTCATGTACATAGGCAGTTACAAGAGGTTTTTTGTTTTTTTTTCCTTTTGGGATAAAGGTTTTACATGAATAAATAAAGGATGATCACCATAAATACCACTGTCAGTGATAAATAGTTGTTCTCAGCTCTCTAACTGATACATTTCCAGAAGAGCTTGTTCTGTTAAACAGACTTACTGGCCAGATCACAGGTGAAAATAAGAGAGCCTAAAAAAGAAAACAAATGCAGCCATAACATCTAAACATTGGTAAGCGTTAATATAATAGTTTGCTTTAGGTTTAATTTTATACAAATGTTTCTTTTAAACTTTAAGTGATGAAATTGACTGACTGAATTTTCTTTGTTTTGCAGAACAACTATCTGTCAACCTTCACCGCTCCTTCTGTGCTCCCAGGTTGACAAAAGCGTTGCAGAAACTTTACCACGTGTCCTGGCAGATGTGAAAGGATCCTTTGAAAGCCATATCAGAGGCATTCTGAGCCGTAACTCTGGAAACCCCTTGTTATTAAAGTAGGTCCAGCCTCAGCAGCATCAGTGACCATTTTAATACATGTACGTTTTGGTTGTGGTGTTGTGTGTTTTTTTTGTTTGTTTTTCTTTTTGTTGAAAGGTCAGTGATTTTTATTCTAGAGTAAAAAAAAAATATCTATACCAATGTATAATTTCAGTACAAAGCTTTTCCGAAGCTTTGGCATTTGCAACATAACTAATTAGAAATACACCTAAAGAGAAACACATTTGCAGTGTAGCTGACAACCTGCTTAAACTTAGGTTTCCAAGGTGGTATTCTAAGGAATACTGCCACACGAGAAAAGCAGCAAGGGGCAGAGATAAACAAGTAGCTGAAGGACTAGTGTGAGAAGCAGGATTTTGGGTTCATGGGGAACTGGACTGACTTACCGGTCGGTTACCAGCACTACAGTGGGAACGGACTGCACCAAGATAGGGGAGGGTGCAGCTCTGTCAGAGTAGATGGTGGCCAAATGGTTGGAGGAACTTTTAAACTAGGACGTGTTCTGGAGTGTTCAGTGAAAGATATACAGCGCAATGAACAAAGGTCAGTGTACAAATGTGGGCAAAGTTGGGGTAGGGGGGAGGGACATCAAACCAGATGAAAGAGAAACAAAAGCATCAAGGACCAATATTTCCTGGCTGGATGCATCTTGCTGTAACCTTATAGTGAGCGAGAATAAAATAATATGCATGTGTACAAAATTAAAAGGCAAGTACACAAATGCAGTTAGTTCCAAAAAATGGAAGAACTAGAACTTCTGATACAAAAGGAGGATTTTTACTTTGTGGGAATATCAGAAACCCAGTTTGACAGCTCACGTGACTGGCTTGTGACTGTCCAGGGGTATTCCCTGTATTGGAGGGACAGGGTAGGAAGAAAAGGGGAAGGGGTGTGCCTTTATGTCAAGAGTAACTTGATGGTGAATATGAGGGATGACATTGCTTGTGCCTGGAGCTTCAAAGGGAAGAAACAAATGGTAAATTAATGGTGGCTGTATGTTATAGGCCCCCTAACGTTAAAGAGGAAAAGACTGATCTACTTTCACAGTTGGATGATGAGAAGGCAGGGAAATATAATCATGGGGGACTTTAACTATCCAGATATTAAGTGGGCAGACGGAACTGCTCACTCAACTAAGGCTCATAATTTCTTGAATGTATTGCAGGACAATTTCTTGGATTAAATGGTTGAAGCCCCAACTAGAGAGATTGCTCTGCTGGACCTACTAAATACAGAGCTGATTGCCGATGTGAAATTAAGGGATAACTTAAAAAAACCGTGATCACAGAGTAATTACTTTTGCCATAAATTATAGGAAAAGGAGACATGAGGGTAGGACAAGAATACTAAATTTCAAAAGACACTGAAGAAAAGTTGACAGTGCTTTAAGGACATATTACATTTTTCTAATATATTAATAGTGAAAAGGTTAGGTCAGAACATATTGGCCCCATGAGATGATCAGGGTAAGTTGGTTACAAGTGACAGGGTGAAAGCAACTGTATTAAAAGCAAAGTTCAGGTTGTATAAAAAAAAACAAAACAAGTAGTCCTCCTATTTATTTTGGCAATGGAACCATTGGCGGAGGCTATACACACCCACCCAGACATCACAAGCTTCGATGTGGCGGGCTCCTCCCATAAAATATTGTTGTTCGCCAAAGACATATTATTGACCTTTAACGTCCCCAAGAATTTTCCTACCAAATCTGATCCAAATCCTAGACTCTTTCACTTCTCTCTCGGGACATCACGTTAGTCCTGCCAAATCCAAAGCAATGTCAGTAACTCTTTCCCCTTCCTCACTAACTGACCTGAAGAATACATTCCCTTTTCAGTGGATCATTTTCTACTATCATGGTTTGGCAGAATTAATGTACTGCACATGACTTGCCTTCCAAAATTGCAATATGCTTTCCTCGTCTTGCCAGTTCCAGTCCCTCCACACATTTTGCACATACTCCTGCAATTCATCTGGGATCCTTTAGGCTTTGAATTGACAAAAAGATCCTGTTCGCCCATAAGATCTATCTGTTCCAAACCTCGAAGCCTACTATTTAGCAGCCAATATCTCCTCCCTACCTCATATTCATGAGACCCAGAGTATCCCATTATGGGCTACATTAGATCTAGTAGATTCTTATCCCATAACATTACTTTCCCTTCCATGTCTCCCTACTATTCTCTGCCCCATGACCCGTAGCCCACCACTGCTTCATACTCTTTGCGTATGGGATTCAGTCAAGTTTTCAGCAGGCCTAATCTCATCCTATCTCCCTTTACTGCATCTTAACAGTCTGCTATTCCCCCCAGACCTACATAATCCAGGGCAGTTTGCTTGGTGGACTGCACATGGATTTCTTTATCCACTCTCTCCTTACCCTCACTAGAATGATTACTCTTGATGCCCTTAGGTCCTCATATGATGTTCTGCTGAGGGAACATTACAGCTACCTACAACTTTGCCACTTTATCTCACAACTCCTAATTCAACCTACACCTTATATACTAACCACCTTTCGAACATCTTTGCAGAACCCGGCCTCACACCCCTGGCCTAATTTCACTAATTTATTCCTCAATCTTATCTTCCAGGAGACTCCCTGCTACAACCATACCACCTTCATTGGCAAAGAGAAATAGGGAAATACAGCTCAACTAGGCAGATTGAGAGATTATCCTAACACTATCCAAGTGCTCAAAAAATTTAATTATACTGGAAAATGCCTACAAAATCTTATACTAGTGGTACTATACGCCAGCCCGTCTGGCTTGTTTTGTCCCCTCTTATCCATCTGTTTCTAAGGATGTTCACAGGCAGGAACAATGACACACACTTAATGGTCCTGCCCTAGGGCATGCAGACTTTGGGTCAGGGTTTGTGCACTTCTTTGCTCCATGTTGATATTAAATGAAATCCATACGAATCCATACGAAGCCCTCCTTTTCAAACCAATTGAAGAATTACTAAACAACAATTGGCAGCACATTTTGCTTACAATGACTAAACTGACTATAGCAAAAGCATAGAAAAATCCCAATCCTTAGTGTTGAGGCTGTCAAACACCAGAAGAATAATATTATGGTCAATGAAAAATAGACCGCTATGAGAAATTTCTCTGGGTCTGGCAACCTTGGATTGCACACGTTCAGCCATCTTGGTTTGACAATGCCCTTCTGTCGCTTTAATGACCCTGTGTCATGGTGGACTCCTGGGACTCCCTTCTCATAACCCCTCCCCCCCTTTTTTTTTTTTTTCTTTCTCTCTTGTTCTAACATTTCCCATTCCGTTTCGTTTGTATTCCCATCTTCCTGAGAATTGCTACAGTATCTCACAGAGGTGAGTACACCCCTCACATTTTGTAAATATTTTATTATATCTTTTCATGTGACAACACTGAAGAAATGAAACTTTGCTACAATGTAAAGTAATGAGTGTACAGTTTGTATAACAGTGTAAATTTGCTGTCCCCTCAAAATAATGCAACACACAGCCATTAATGTCTAAACTGCTGGCAACAAAAATGAGTACACCCGTTAGTGAAAATATCCAAATTTTGCCCAATTAGCCATTTTCCCTCCCCGGTGTCATGTGACTCATTAGTATTACAAGGTCTCAGGTGTGAAAGGGGAGCAGGTGTGTTAAATTTGATATCGCTCTCACTCATACTGGTCACTGGAAGTTCAACATGGCACCTCATGGCAAAGAACTCTGAGGATCTGAAAAAAAGAATTGTTGCTCTACATAAAGATAGCCTAGGCTATAAGAAGATGGCCAGGACCCTGAAACTGAGCTGCAGCACCAAGACCATAGGCGAAGACCATACAGCAGTTTAACAGGACAGGTTCCACTCAGAACAGGCCTCGCCATGGTCGACCAAAGAAGTTGAGGGCATGTTCTCAGCATCATATCCAGAGGCTGTCTTTGGGAAATAGACGTATGAGTGCTGCCAGCATTTCTGCAGAGATTGAAGGGGTGGAGGGGTCAGCATAGCTGTCTTCCCAGAAGGAAGCCTCTTCTAAAGATGCTGCACAAGAAAGCCCGCAAACAGTTTGCTGAAGACAAGCAGACTAAGGACATGGATTACTGGAACCATGTCTTGTGGTCTTCTTTTTTTCTTTCTATTTTTTTTTTTAATTTAAATTTTTATTTCTTTAATCATTATACAAACAATATAAAAACACATTACACCTCATAAAGATGCATTTCCTATTATATTTATAACCCTCACCCACCCCTTCCCCAAGCCACATTCTCCCACTACCCCCCCTCCCCTTCTTTCTCGAATATCTCTAATAAAGACCAATCCACAACTCGGGATAGCATTATTGCTGTGTAATAATTCTTCACTTTAGGTAACCCCAGTCCTCCATTCCCCTTTGCTCTACATAACACCTCATAACTTATTCTACGTCTCTTATTTGCCCCAATGAATTTAGTAATCATCTTTTCTAATTATGGTAAAGAAAGCTCCTGAGAGAGCAATCAGGAGCATTTGTTTACCTTTTACCGACGCTGATGGCCCTTATATAAACCCTTAATCCAATTCAACATCTTAATTCCCAATCCCATCTTTTCCAATGTATCGAACATAAAATCCCAGCTAACCCTGTCGAAAGCTTTTTCAGCGTCAATCGACAATAATATTACGGGGTCTTTTCCTGTTTAACTTTTTGAACCAATATTAAAGATCTCAGTCCATTGTCCCTGCCCCCTCTCCCCGGAACAAAACCCACTTGATCCATATGTACCCATTCTGGCATCAGGTCCCCCAGCCTTGTTGCCAAAACTTTTGCGTATAATTTGGTATCGGCATTCAACAACGATATCGGCCTATAACTTGCACACTGCGAACTCTCTTTCCCTTCCTTCAAAATTAACACGATATATGCTTGTAACAATTCTTCCCTCATTTCCAATCCCTCACCTATTGCGTTCATATAGTGCATGTCCTGTGGTCTGATGAGACCAAGATAAACATATTTGGTTCACATGGTGTCAAGCGTGTGTGGGGGCAACCAAGGTTAGGAGTAAAAAGACAAGTGTGTCTTGCCTACAGTCAAGCATGGTGGTGGGAGTGTCATGGTCTGAGGTTGCATGAGTGCTCCCAGCACTGGGGAGCTACAGTTCATTGAGGGAACCATGAATGCCAACATGTACTGTGACATTCTGAAGTAGAGCATGATCCCCTCTCTTCGGAGACTGGGCCGCAGGGCAGTATTCCAACATAATGACCCCAAACACACCTCCAAGATGACCACTGCCCTGCTAAAGAGGCTGAGGGTAAAGGTGATGGACTGGCCAAGCATGTCTCCAGACATAAACCCTATGGGGCATCCTCAATTGGAAGGTGGAGAGGCACAAGGTTTCTAACATCCACCAGCTCCGTGATGTCATCATGGAGGAGTGGAAGAGGATTCCAGTGACAACCTGTGAAGTTCTGGTGAACTCCATGCCCAAGAGGGTTAAGGCAGTGCTGGAAAATAATGGTGACAACACAAAATATTGACACTTTGGGCCCAATTTTGACATTTTCACTTAGGGGTGTACTCACTTTTGAATACAGCAAGTTTACACTGTTCTACAAGCTGTACACTCACTACTTTACATTGTAGCAAAGTGTCATTTATTCAGTGTTGTCCCATGAAAAGATATAATAAAATGTTTACAAAAATGTGAGAGGTGTACTCACTTCTGTGAGATACTGTATGTTAATAGGTCGTCTGACACCAGCCATGCTCAGACGGTTACAAAATTTGTATTTCTTTTCCTACGGTAATATACTGTATTCTTTGTATGCCGTTTTCCTGTTTTTATTTGAATATATGTTCTGACAAATCACTGGCAATTTTATACTACCCACATTACACGCTGGCTTAGACTATTAACTTTTACAAGCTATGGTCTTAAACTCTGTTTATCTGTACATTCCTTCTTCAACCTTTGCTGTGCAGAGAGATACAAAGCAGCATGTCCATGCTGACAGGAGAGAGATCTGTGTTGTTTACACACATCTCCCCTCTCAGCTTTAGTGGTGATCACCGAGTGCCGGACAAGAAACGCCAGCCGGGACCCAGTGATTGACATCCGCTGCAACCAATGGCAGCTCGGGTAGGGTGGGGCGTGCGCCCCCTACCTGGAAAGCAAAATCGGTATATCTGCTATAGGGTGGGTAGGTAAGCAGTTATATACATTCTTCTCCATCTATACCAAGGAAAAGGGGGGTATAATAAACAAGAGCGGAAGATTTACCGCTTCCTGACCGCCCTATAGCAGATATACTGCTACCGGGCGGCACGAGTGTGCAAAATCAAGTATATATTCGCGTCCACGGCTGTCAATCACCAGGTCCTGGCTGATGATTACTTGCCGGCGCCCGGTGTTTGCTGAGCATCTCCCAACAGGGAAGAGAACTGTATGTAAACAATACAGTTCTTCCTGTCAGCTCGTGCACACTGCTTTGGATGGCTGTGCACAGCACAACAAGTTCCGTGACACCAAGTCAGTTCCCCACAGTATCAGAATGCCCATCGCTGATCGCCGCCATTACTAGAAAAAAAAAAAAATTAAAACAAATTCCAGTATCTATACCACCATTTGTAAATGCTATAACTTTCATGTAGACCAATTCATTTAAATGTATTGGGATTTTTTGTCAGCAAAGACATGTAGCAGAATATTATTATTATTATTATTATTACACAGTATTTATATAGCCCCAACAGTTCGCTCAGCGCTGTACATTACAATGGGAGACAATACACGAGACAGTACAATAACAATACAATGCGATACACGAGGGGTTCGAGAGCCCTGCTCCTCCTTGGAGCTTACAATCTAGGAGGGAGGGGATAGTGGTACGGGAGGGATAGCTATGGGGGATGGAGTGGTAGGAAGAGTGGAGGAGATCGGCAATTAGCTGAGGGCGGAGTAGGCTTCCCTGAAGAGGTAGGTTTTCAGGAGCTCGGTTTTGGAAAGGTTCAGTTTGAGGAAGTGGAGTGACATCCAATCCGATATGTCGTTCAGTAGGCTAGTGATTCGGGCGGAGACTGAAGGGGTGAGGTGAGGGGTGGAGAGATAGATTTGCGTGTCGTCAGCATAGAGATGGTAGTTAAAGCCGTGAGAGTGTATCAGTTGGCTAAGGGAGGAGGTGTAGATGGGGAAGAGAAGGGGCCCAAGGACAGAGCCTTGAGGGACTCCAACAGAGAGGGGGAGTGAGGGGGAGGTAGCAGCGTTATAGGTAACACTGAAGGAGCGCTGTGATAGGAAGAGAGCCAGGACTAATTTGGACTACATTTATGACGAAATATGATTGTTTTTGTGTTTTATAGCGCAAACAAAACACACAGGCGGTCAAATACCACTGAAAGAAAGCTCTATTTTTGGGGAAAAAAGGACGTAAATTTAATTTGGGTGCAGCGTCGCATGACCACGCAAGTGTCAGTTAAAATAATACAGCGCCGTAATGCAAAAAAGTGGCCTGGTCAGGATGGGGTAAATCCTCATGAGGGCAAGTGGTTAATAACATTTTGAACAAGTCAATGGGACTGGCTGTTTTACACCTGAAAATTCTCAAAGAACTTAGCCATGTTATAACCAGACCATTAATCCTAATTTTTAAGGACAGCTTTCTGACTGGATTGGTACCAGCTGAATGGTAAAAATCGAAAGTTATCAATATTCAAAAAAAGGACCAAGATATATCTGAACTTCAGATCAATCAGCCTAACATCAATATCAACCTAAACATCAGTAGAATGTAAACTATTGGAATGCATTATAAGGGACCATATCCAAGAATTTGCTGATGAGAATAGTAGTATTAATAGTAACTAACATGGATTTATAAAAGACCGCTCTTGCCAGACCAACCTTTTAACATTCTATGAGAAGGGTGAGCTGTAATTTGGATGAAGGAAGGCCTGTAGACGTAGTGAATCTGGATTGCTCTAAGTCCTTTTATACAGTACCCCATAAATGCCTAATTTAGAAATTAAAGTCTTTTGGCATTGATGAAATTGTACATACAGTTGTGTTCAAAATAATAGCAGTGTGTTGAAAAAAGTGAATAAAGCTCAAAATCCTTCTAATAGCTTTTATTTCCATACACACAAATGCATTGGGAACACTACACATTCTATTCCAAATCAAAACATGAAGAAAAATATATCAAATTTGTGTTGTTCCTCTACAATAAATTGAAGAAAAGTGAATATTAGACTTTTCAAAAAAATAGCAGTGTTTGTATTCTTCTTTACAAACTCAAACATTCACTATACAGCCAGGTCTATAAATATTGGGACATCAACACAATTCTAACATTTTTGGCTCTATACACTACCACAATAGATTTGAAATGAAACGAACAAGATGTGCTTTAACTGCAGACTGTCAGCTTTAATTTGAGGGTATTTACATCCAAATCAGGTGAACAGTGTAGGAATTACAACAGTTTGCATATGTGCTTCCCACTTGTTAAGGGACCAAAAGTAATGGGACAATTGGCTTCTCAGCTGTTCCATGGCCAGGTGTGTGTTATTCCCTCATTATCCCAATTACAATGAGCAGATAAAAGGTCCAGAGTTCATTTCAAGTGTGCTATTTGCATTTGGAATCTGTTGCTGTCAACTCTCAAGATGAGATCCAAAGAGCTGTCACTATCAGTGAAGCAAGCCATCATTAGGCTAAAAAACAAAACAAACCCATCAAAGAGATAGCAAAAACATTAGGCGTGGCCAAAAAAAACTGTTTGGAACTTTCTTAAAAAGAAGGAACGCACTGGTGAGCTCAGCAACACCAAAAGACCCGGAAGACCACGGAAAACAACTGTGGTGGATGACCGAAGAATTCTTTCCCTGGTGAAGAAAACACCCTTCACAACAGTTGGCCAGATCAAGAACACTCTCCAGGAGGTAGGTGTATGTGTGTCAAAGTCAACAATCAAGAGAAGACTTCACCAGAGTGAATACAGAGGGTTCACCACAAGATGTAAACAATTGGTGAGCCTCAAAAACAGGAAGGCCAGATTAGAGTTTGCCAAACGACATCTAAAAAAGCCTTCACAGTTCTGGAACAACATCCTATGGACAGATGAGACCGAGATCAACTTGTACCAGAGTGATGGGAAGAGAAGAGTATGGAGAAGGAAAGGAACTGCCTATAATCCTAAGCATACCACCTCATCAGTGAAGCGTGATGGTAGTGTCATGGCATGGGCATGTATGGCTGCCAATGGAACTGGTTCTCTTGTATTTATTGATGATGTGACTGCTGACAAAAGCAGCAGGATGAATTCTGAAGTGTTTCGGGCAATATTATCTGCTCATATTCAGCCAAATGCTTCACAACTCATTGGACGCCGCTTCACAGTGCAGATGGACAATGACCCAAAGCATACTGCAAAAGCAACCAGAGAGTTTTTTAAGGGAAAGAAGTGGAATGTTATGCAATGGCCAAGTCAATCACCTGACCTGAATCTGATTGAGCATGCATTTCACTTGCTGAAGACAAAACTGAAGGGAAAATGCCCCAAGAACAAGCAGGAACTGAAGACAGTTGCAGTAGAGGCCTGGCAGAGCATCACCAGGGATGAAACCCAGCGTCTGGTGATGTCTATGCATTCCAGACTTCAGGCTGTAATTGACTGCAAAGGATTTGCAACCAAGTATTAAAAAGTGAAAGTTTGATTTATGATTATTATTCTGTCCCATTACTTTTGGTCCCTTAACAAGTGGGAAGCACATATGCAAACTGTTGTAATTCCTACACCATTCACCTGATTTGGATATAAATACCCTCAAATTAAAGCTGACAGTCTGCAGTTAAAGCCCATCTTGTTTGTTTCATTTCAAATCCATTGTGGTGGTGTATAGAGCCAAAAATGTTAGAATTGTGTCAATGTCCCGATATTTATGGACCTGACTGAAATACACTGAATAAACTGAAAAATGTTTGAAGATTTTGCTTTCCTTTGAATCAC